TTAATGTTAATTTTGAATGATTTTTTTGTAAATAATCTCTTAAATTTCCTTCTGGTATATAATTAAGAACCATTGCACAATTTCCATTATTTGGGAATTTAGTTATACCATAACAAGGAACAATCATTCCTGATTTAATTTTACAATAATTAATTGCCTGAAAATAAACATAAAATCAATTAATACTATAAATATAATAGTGCCATTTACTTTGCTACAAATAAAATAAAATCAATTACCTCATCAAAAAATGCATTTGTTGGATTACTTGAATTTATTAAACTTTTTAATACTACATTGTGTCTTCCAAAATAGTCAAAAATTTTTTTATTTTCATTGTAATCAATTATATAACCCCTTGTCCACAATGCAGTATAAATTAAACCAAATCCACCTTTAGTTAATTTTGTAACATTTTGAAATTGATCAAAAGGTATCCATTCTAAAATATGAGTTGGCAAAGATGATTTCATTTGACATTGCTGAATAAAATTATCAACTATGACATTACCAGATGTCCAAGTGTCAAAAAGTCTCTGTAGGTGTAAACTAATACAACCTTCACAGAATCTATCAGAGTATTTTGTTAATTTACATTCGTTGCATTTTTTTGGTTCTCCCAGCTTATAAGCTGCATTATTTAATCCAAATTCATAAATATGCCTTTCTCTACAATATTGTTTTTCATTTTCAGAAAGCTCCTTATTTTTTTTGACCAATGAAAAAAAATAATCTTTTTGACTTTCTCTATTATGTATATTTACTAAAACATTACCATACATTCCTCTACGAATTTCAAGTACAAAATCCCTTCTTTCTGATGATAATAATTTATCAAATGACATTTTTAACTTTGCTTAATATTCTTTGGAAAATATTTCCTTTTTCCATTTATCAATAACAGATAGTGTAACAAACAATGATAAAAAATTTTGAATTCACCCATATCTCATGGTAACAACAATAATAACCTTTTGTTTATTGGTGTCAATTTAAATTTGATGCAATTTCATCATCTAATATTCTAATTTACAATATGTGCCAAAATCTTGTTTTTTGTTTTTATTATTATTAAATTTTCGGCTGTATGAATTCCTTTCAGCAAATCCCAAATCACTCTAACAAATGGTCTTTTTGATGGACAATACTTGTGGATAATCATTAGGCATTTCAGGTAATATTAGTAGTTGTAAACCTCCTCATATCTTAAATTAAATGAGCTTTATCATCAAATGGTGCAAAAATTAACTGTAAACATCCGTTCCTTTTGTATTATCTTTGCCACAAAGTAGTTCAGGTGCAATATATGATGCAATTCCATAGATTTTATTTTGATCAACTGTGATAATATATTACCACTATGTAACTCACAATAAATTAAGTTTTTATTATATAAATAAATAAATTAATTTTAATCGCTTTTTGTGTTCCATAATAAACAAGTTCTCTTTTATTTTCATTGTAATCAGAAATGATGTCTCTTGTCCATATGGCAGTATAAATTGAACTAAATCTGCTTTCTGTTAACTTTTTTATATTTTGAAATTGATCATAAGGTATCCATCTATCCATCCTATAATTTGATCCAAAAGAGATGAAAGTTTTTGGCACTGTTGAATAAAATATCAACTATAGTATTTCTAGAAGTCAATGTGTTAAAAATGCAGACTGATACAACATTCACAAAATCTAAACTCTTTAAAAAATCCTTATTTTTTCTAATTTCTCCATTAGACAGCCCTTGTTGCATTATCATATGCTCCATTATAAAATTTATCTTCTGTGTCTGGAATTAATAAGCTATTGAATGACATTTTAAGCTTTATTTTTAATAAATCAAAAATATATCAGCTCTTTTAATGCCCCAATTTTAAATTATTAATAATATATGGGCAGACCAGACAAAATGTCACAAAGGAATCCTAGAATATTTTTGAGTATGTGGAATTTGCATAGGGATACAGATAAAGATAATTCTAAAATCGTATAAACTGTTTTTACTAATGAAAGGCTTCCTTGTAAGAATCATCATTATCAGACCATATCATTAAATTTTTATTTAACTTGTTTAATAAACAATATATAAATCAAAACTAGGGCTAGATTGCTTAAAACTCCTATTATAGGCTGATACGCTCTTCAAAGTATTCGGTGAGCTTGACTAACCCTCCTATCAAGTATTTAAAAAAAAATACAACTCCCATTCCAAGCATTCAATGGCTATTTTTTGTGCTGTTTGTAAACCATACCATATGTAATTTTTATTGTTGTAGAGACGAATGAGACACCATGGCAACCGCCAATGTAGAAGCACTGACCACATTACACGCGTAAACAAGTATAATGAAAATGCAGCGAAAATTATAGTAGATGGGTTTACCGGAGTGTTGTCCACGGATGTTATCTGCCTTATATTCAACGGACAATCTCAAGACAAAGTCCATCAAAAATTTCAAATTCCGCGTAACAACTTGTCATGCGTATACACATTTTTTTACATAAGCCACAAATTAATTTGCTTTAATGTTGGTTTTACTATTACTATAATATAATCCATGATCTTTTTAAGGAAGTCACGCCCATAACCTCCCACTATTTCTAAAATAATGTATAGAAAGAGACCTTGACAGCCGAAGAAAAAAAAAATCACAAAGATTCCACATAATGAAAGCATTGGGAATAACAACCGTTTTACAATAATTTCCATAAAATTTGGCAAAAACGATTGTCATGCCCGATGCTTTTACTATGTGGAATCTTTGTGTATTTATTTTCCTACGCCAGTATAAGTCTATTTTTTTTGTTTACTATTACTTTGGATTTTTATCATCGATCATAATCTTTTCTAAGCAAAATTTTGTCCGGATGGGGCAGTCCGCGTTTGGTGACAATACTGATTCACCACGCTCGTGTCGCCAAAGACAATAGCGAGCCAATCAGCAATCTGCTCGAACATGAAATAAAATTCAGTAAACACGAATTAGGTAATTATAGCCTGAAAAAAATCGCTAGTTGATTTCCATTTTGGGAAATTACACCTCTATGTATGTTGTACAAAAAATAAATTTTTTTAAAATTAACAATGAACAAAATCATTGCAAGCGAGATTGTCATTATAATGGGAGTTCATATAAAAGCCATTATCATATGATTTTATAAGTTTTTATTTTATTAATTATTTTTGAACATAAAAATTTAAATTAATTTGTTTAGCCTCTCTAAAACTCTGACTTACTGTAAACTATCTAATAAGCGATCCTCCACTATAAACTTTGGTACTTGTTCTTGTTGTATATAAGTAAGAAGGTTTATGCAACTTTTCAATGCGGTTAGTATTAATATGAATAATATTTCCTTCTCCTCCACCTCTTCTTCTTTAGTTATGTTTTATAGCTTCATCAAACCAAATTGCTAGAGTTTTCTCCAATTTGCTTGCCGATTCTTTTTAAATTGAGCAGTTGAAACAGTTTCATCAACAGAAAGCCATTTGTTTGATTCTGATAAAATTACTGAAACTGTGCTTCGACTAATTTCAAAATCTTTAGCTAATTTATCTCGAGTTAAGCTAGGATCATTTTTAGCACACTTGCATAGTTCTTTTTTTGGATGAAGATGCAGAGGTTGAAGTCATTTTTAAAACATGATTTTTAATAATTCATTGTCTAATTAACCAATTAATCATATTAATCAACGTTTTATTGTGATCAAATGTTTTTGATTGGTTCTCTCGTTATACTGACATTTCATTATAACGGGTGTCAGTATAAATGGGATAAATTCTATAATTAAAAAAATTATTTTGACAAATTATGTCATTATACTAATATAACGGGATAAATAGTGAGTGTCATTATAACGGGCATAAATTTGTATTTATAAATTTGGTTTTTAAAAAAATGTCATTATAACAAGATCGCCATTATAACGAATGTCATTACAACGGGAGTGACTTGTATTCAACCAAAATTGGATAAAGTTGGTTAAATAATGTGCTAAGAAAGTAAGAATGTGAGATCACCGAACAAAAGAATTTAAATGAATATATTAATCGATTTAATGAGAAAAATTGCAAATAGGGGTTGGATTCCAACCTTGGCAAGGAAATGTTTTGTTTGATTGATGGCAGATTTGATCTCCTTACTACAATGAGGATTATGATATAGCACAACAATTATTACGCATTTGTAAGCGTTTTCACGCATGTGAACCAACCTTTTGCAGTTTCTAACTTTATTGATAGTAATAGCTCTGTTAGATTGGAGGCACCAGTTTCAAACGAATCAAATTATGGTAACCTTGAAAGGACCTATTTCATTGACACTGTTGCTTACATCATTTCAAGACTATTTAGAATGCTTACTGACATATTGGATATTGGATGGTAAATATCAATTGTGGATGTTTTTAAGCACTGGATTTTCTTAGTCACTGATTCCCTCCCTATTTATTCCACCAGGATTGAATTGACGACTCCATCCTCTACCCTAAAGCACAAATTTGATGGTGTAATAAAACAACAAGAAAAAAAGAAGGCAACGATTATATAAATACAATGAGGATTCTCAATGATTTATTAAAAACAATGCCAAAGGAAAGTGCAAGAGTTTATCTTGTCCAGTCAATCAGTAAGTGAAACAAACCCATTGATAGGAAAATATTGTTGTATAGTTAAATATTTTTTCTATAAAGGTTAAATATTTGATTCGACCACTTCCTTCAACATACCTTCTTTATCCAAAAAAATACAGAATCAATTGAATTGATGATGATGATGATGATAAATAAATAATAAAGCATAATTGCACGAATTTACAATTTTCCGTCTGGTGATATTAATTAATTATTAATAAGACATTTTTGAAATTGTTAATAGCAATAGTATCACATAAATTTCGATCAAATACATATTTAAGATTTTTAATTATTATAAATGATTATTAAATACAATGTATTTAAAATTAAAAATTAAAATTTACAAAATAAAGAATAAATTATAAATATATATATATATATATTTACATACATATTTATTACTGCCATTAAATTAAATTAATTCACATCATATAAAAGGTTTTTTGTGATTAATATCGGTTGAAAATTGATCATTAATCTTTGTTTGTGAAGTTGAATGTGACATTATGGTAGAGGTGGAACTACCACGTCTAGATTGACTTATATGAACCATTGCAGGTGGATCACAATTATCTAGTAAACCTAAAACTTCATCCGATGATCTGATGTTTTCTTTTTTATCATCTTTAGGTGAAAGTTGATTATTATTATTAATATTGGTTTGATATTGGATTGGTGTGGCAGGTAAAGGTGGCAAATAATATTTATTACCATTTTCATAAAAATATTTATCATTATCATTATCATTATCATTATCATAACTATTATCGTTGTTGTTGTTGTTGTTGCTGTTGTTGCTGTTGTTGACTAATTCATCTTCGTCTTCACCAGAAATTATTAAATTTGCCCATTCAAAGAATGTCAACCTCTGCATTGATACAACAACAAATTTGTTTTTATTAAGTCTAAAAGAAGCAGTTTTTTGTTGTCTATTTAATGAATCTCTTCTCCAAGATTTATGTTTTTGAGATTTTGATCCTGACGTTTGTGATGACGAATTAGAAGTGGAAATAGAAGTGAAGGAAGAAGGTTTTATGGACTTTAAAGATTTTCTTGATTTTATTGACTTTGACGAGTTGCTATTATCATTACTATTTCTACTATTACAAATATTCCTACTATTGATATCATTACTGTTACTATCATTACTATGACTTTTATTTTTACTATTGCTATTGCTATTAGTACTATTAGTACTATTATTATTATTATTATTATTATCATTATTATTATTATTATTATTATTATTATTATTACTAGCAAAATAATAATTATCAGTATCATTCATAGAAATTGGAGAAGTGGCAATTGGATAATCGGTGATTTTTTTTTGATTATATAATGAATAATGGCGATAATGAGCTGTTTCCTGCACATCTCTTTCACCTTCTTCCATTTCTCTTGAAGTTGAAGGTGTTGACATGATAAATTTTCTGAATGATACTATAGATAAATTATTTCTATCAAATGCAACTCCACTATCATTAGAATTATTGATGTTATTGTTTCTACTATTATAAGTATAATTATCTCTTCTGTAATTATTATCATTATTATTATTACGACTTATAATGGTTCTATTTTGATTTCCTTCGATCACTTTAACGATCTCAGCGTCAACTGTAATCAAATATGACTGAGCTATAGTGGCGAAACATTGAATTCCGTTTAATACTTCGAAATAAAATTTATCATTATCGATATATATATTTAATATTGCCATGACATTATATATGAAATCGACCGTCATCCTCATGAAATTCCAATACAACACTGCGGTGAACAATGTGCGTTTTGGATTGCGTCTACCGATTATTGAGTTGGCCTGGGCAGAATTACGATTTCCCTCATTTAATATTTGTACTAAACGGACTGTCACGAAAAAATCTATTAAAACATCAATAGAAATATAGCCTAGTTGAATATATCTCGCGACCTCTGAGTCAGATTTACATTCCTGCAAATATTCATCACTATCAAGGATCGGCTGATAATAATTGATTACAATCAACTAAAAAAAATTTCGAGGAGAGAGCAGAAAAAGGATTAAAAATTGAGATTAAATAAATTAAAGCCGAGATTTAAAAACTATATAGCTCAATTGAAATGACACACGATAGAAATGATGCGACTTACATTTAATACAGTTCTAAAAGTAAACAAAGCAAAACTTATCCACCGATCCCAAGCGGAATATTCAATTTGTTTTAATCTCCATAACAGGAAAGCGGCTAATGTTTCTCTATATAAAAAATTAGTGAATACTTCTAGGTAAATTAAAACTCTACAATGATATATCGAGACGGCCATCAAGAGATTATAACGTATCGCTGACCAGGTGACTCCACTTAAGTTAAAAATTATTTTCAAAATATTTGTTACATTTGCGATTCCAGATCTATACAAAAATACTGAAACAAAAAAATTATGAAAATAAGTCTATATCATAATTGTAGTAAAGTCGTAGAAGAATTAGAGATAGAATTAGAATTAGCGTTGGCATTAGGAGCATTAGAATGTTAATACAATGTAATATGATAATGTAATGCAAAATAAAGAATTGCTATTTACCATAGAAGAGAGTCCATAAGCATATGATAAAAAGAATTGCTTATAAGGTACTTCCATTTTATTCAAAGTTATTAAATATTAATTTTTATTTTCTAAGTTTTTAATTTTGTTGTTATTATATATATAATTATTATATTATAATTATAATTATTATTATAATTGTTATTATTATTATTATTACTATTACTATTATTATTATTAAATAATGTATATATATATAATTAAAAAATATAATTTAAAAGAACATTTTAAAAAATTTCAAATGGAAGGAGAAATAAATTTTTTTTCTTTCTATGAAATTTGTTTTCGGATGTAGATTTTTCATTTATAAATAAAATAAAATAATTGATAAAAATAAAAATACTTATAAATAGGATTAGTATAAAAAAGCTTAAATATACCATTCTAAAAGACAATTTCAACTTAAACACAATCACAATTTATCTAAAATGGTTTAATATTATCCTAAAATTTTGATGAGGATTGCATTTGACAATAGGTATTTTCATTGATCAAACATTATTAATTCATTAAGATTTCATTGTTTATAAATTCAACCAATGAAATGATCCGGAGTGAAAATAATCATCTGATTTACAAGTGCAATTTGAAATTTTTTTTTTGATCAACAAATTCATATTCAAAGATGCTTTATAACATTGCGTAAGTTTTAAACCTTGATAATTGATGAATTGACAAAGATTTCTTCTCACACCAATCACATTATTTGGTTTTTATCAAGGATGGTTTCCGATTTTTTTTATCCAAATATGGGAGGCGTTGAAAGTCATCTATACCAATTATCACAAAGGCTGATTCAACGTGGTCACAAGGTGTTTATATTTATTACGATTACCTTTTAAATTTATTTATTCTTTTGGTAATGATAATAGTAATAATGTTGTTGTTCAATTAGGTTATAATAATAACACATTCATATGGCAATAGAACGGGAATTCGTTATTTGACGAATGGTTTAAAGGTGTATTACGTACCACACGTGGTAATATACTCGGAGGCTACCCTACCAACAATATATGGATTTTTTCCAATATTTCGTAATATCGTGCTTCGAGAAAAAATAGACATCGTTCATGGCCATCAAGCCTTCTCTTCTCTTTGCAACGAAGCGATATTGCACGCTCGTACAATGGGAATGAAGGCTTGTTTTACAGATCATAGTTTATTTGGATTTGCTGATTCTAGTAGCATTTTAATGAATAAGTTGTTAAAATTTTCATTAAGCGACATTGATCATGTTATTTGCGTTAGCCATACAAGGTAAAGCAACAATCTTGTAGAATTTGGAAAATATATATATATATATATGTCAGAAAAGAAATTAATTGGTTTCTTAAAAAAAAATTTTTTTTTTAATAACAATAGTAAAGAAAATACAGTTCTTCGTGCAGCATTAAATCCTCAAATGGTTTCAGTAATACCTAATGCTGTACTTGCTTCACAATTTAAACCTGATCCTGGCGCACAAGATCCAAATTTTAGCAAGTAGTTTAACTTTTTAGATTCGATCACTTTAATATTAGTGTAATCGTTGGACACCTTATAATTATATATTCATTATAATTATCCCATGACTCTTATTATCGGATCTAGTTACAATTGTGGTTGCTAGTAGATTGGTTTATAGGAAAGGAATGGATTTACTTGTAGCCGTGATTCCAAGAATTTGTCAAAAACATCCAAAAGTTCGATTTATAATTGGCAAGTAATATATATTATATATTATATATATATATATTAAATATATACGTGTGGATGGGACTACATGAACATGCGAGAGCGTTTATCTAATTTCAACAATTATTATTATTAAATTTAAAAATAAAAAAGGTGGAGATGGACCAAAACGAGTAGATTTAGAACAAATGAGAGAAAAATATTTACTTCATGATCGTGTAGAATTACTTGGTGCAGTGAAGCATCATGAAGTTAGGAATGTAAGTTATAATGGATAGATGAATAAATGAATGAGAGCGAGTGATTGAGTTAGAGGGGAAAAAAAAGAAAAGATATAATTATAATAATAATTCATTTATCGGTTCTATCTAGGTTTTGACTAAAGGTCAAATATTTTTGAATACTAGTTTAACAGAAGCATTTTGTATTGGTATTGTAGAGGCAGCTTGTTGTGGGTGTGTATGTTAATGACAATATATAAAAATAATACACTCACTAATTTTTTATTAATTGATAGATTGATTGATTGACTGATTGATTTATAATTTATATATATATAGTTTACTTGTTGTAAGTACAAAAGTTGGAGGTGTTCCCGAAGTATTACCAAGGAATATGATTATTTTCGCTAAACCTGAAGAAGAAGGTGAAATAAATCCCCATTTCATTTTTTCATTATTTCATCAATTTATTACTAAAAAAAAATTTTTAATTATTTTTTTTTAAAGATCTAGTAAATGTTGTAATAAAAGCTATAGAAATGATTAGACTCAAAGAAGTCAATCCAATAAAATTTCATGATGAAATAAAAGAAATGTATAGTTGGGTAAACATTGCTGAAAGAACTGAAAAGGTATGAATAAAAAAATGTGATCAATTGGGTTTGTTTTTTCAAATAAATAAATATTAGCATAAATAAATTAATCATAAACAATAATGAAAAAATGAAATGATGAAATAAAAGGTTTATGATTCAATTTGGAAAATGAGAATTCCACCATTGATGGAAAGATTAAGAAGGTTCGATGATTTCTAAAACTTCTCAAATTCAAAATATATTATTATATTTACCAAAAAAAAAAAAAAAAAACTTTTTTTTAATATATACATTTTAGATATTATGGATGCGGGGTTTGGGCAGGAAAAATATTTTGTGTGCTAGTTGCAATCGACTTTTTACTATGGAGATTTTTAGAATGGATTTTTCCTGAAAGTGATATCGATATTGCTCCTTCATTTCCATATCAGAAATATAGAAAAGTATGCATTAATTAATTAAAAAGTTTATCAGAAAAAAATAATTGAAAAATGACTAATGTTTTATTTTTATTTTATTAGATGTGTCAAATGGCAGATAAAGATGATGATGATCTGTGAAATATTCTTAATTTAAAAATTAAATACTTATTAGTTTTTTACATTTAATCAACAAATACTTTTACAAAATAACAATTAATTAATTAATTAAATTTTAATTTAAATTTTGGATTTAATTCCTTTAAATGAATTTGTACTATTTGGATCAATATCAAATGTTATATTATTAAGTGGTTCCTTGACTGCCCAATTAATCATTGTCTCATAAACCTTACCATCAGATCTTCCCAAAGCACTATTTAAAAGGTAATCTGATAAATGGAATGAATCAACCAATCCAACAATATTTGGCCTGATTTCTCTCAACAAATTATAAATCTCCTCTCTTATCAACTCCACCTGTCTAATCGACAAATACCCTGACTCTAAAAACTCTCCCGACTCTTTTTCAATTATCGTGTGCAACGAGAATAAATTACACAATGATGTCAAAACATTTTTTAAATTTGGACTGGCTGACAAAATTCTTTGTTCCTCCTCGCCCAATCTACTACCATCGCCTAACGCCCCGGTGAAATTACGTACCAGCAAGTATTGACAATGCGCTTTTGATATTTTACTAATTTCCACCAATGATGAATTCCACGACGCGTTACGATTATCTAATTTATCGATTGTCTTTGAGATTAGGTGAGCTGCCCTGTGCCCGAATATTTTTAGTTGTGTTGCGTGATCAAGAAAATGATTCGATTCGGTTGCTTGACATTTATCAGTTGGGTTATTCAAATAGTCTAATAAATATTCGGAAGGATTGCCATAACCATTAATAACTTTGCCATTCACCAAATCTCTATATGATTTCAATAACTATTTGTTTCAAGTTGTTTAAGAGGAAAAAAGATATTTGTTATAAAATTAAAAATTCCCCTTCTATACATTATCATTAAAGATATTTACTTACGAAACGAGCAGTTTGTTGTGTTAGAATATAATTATCACCTTCCCAAGTAGTATTTGGTAAATAATCTTGATAGAATTTAGAGAAACCGCTAAAACTAGAATATCCATGTCCGCCACATGCTCGTCTGCAATCCTCAATAGCATCAACCGCCATCGTTGATGTCAATGATTTCAGTCCGGAACTTGACGCATGCAAATCTGCCAATAACGAAAAATCACCATCTGAGCTTTGTGCCGTGTATTTATGATGCAAATTCAGAAGCGCTTTTGCTGTAAAATAGCAAGCAAACGCTTGCGCTACAACTGGAAACAAACGATATTGTTGCATCGTGTAATCTAACACTGAGGTTTCTACTATACGACTAGAAATTAGCATCAATAATAATAATAATAAGGTTAGTAAAAATATAAAATTGGGTAAATTTCCACATCCTCCTCATATCATGTCTTCCATTATCACTAACCCATCTTTTAATCTTTTTGGATTATCTTTATCAACAAATTGTCTTCTGATAGCCGAATACCTAACTGCAATGGTGGCTGCACGTGCCATAGCCAAATAAACACCAGTGACGATTACTGAACGTACAAGTACCATAGTACCATATGATAACTTGTTGTTTGGTGGACTCTTATACACACCAGTGCCTTTCTCTACCCGAGAATATTTTGATAGCATATTGAATCTGGGAATTCTCACTTTATCAAATAACATAAATCCATTATCCATTGAATTATAACTATATATGTGGGTGTGTATTGGGTGTGGGTTGGTCGTGGAATGTAATTTATGTGACGTTAAAAAAGGAATAATTGATAATTTATCCCCCCTTTAAAATAATTACCCAAATTTTGGTCCTATATCACCAATAGTTATACCGGGCAAAGGTTGGTGTGTTTCCAGATCACGTATCTGAACAACAAAAGGATGTGGACCAAATGACTTTCCATTCGTTATTAATATTGCCATTACTATTGCATGGTTTCTAGAAACATATGATAATAATAAACAAATAATATATTGCTATTACTCCTTTTTTTTTTAAAAAACTAATAAAGAGTCAATGCTACTACTACAGGTACTACTGTATATTATATACATACGCAGCTCTTCCCAAACCACCAACCCACCATTTGGGAGCAGTCAAATATGGTGAATGGATTTCAAATTCATCGGTCTCTGGTATATAAGTAGCTGTGGTTTCCAAACCTTGAACATTTGAACCATGACCCAATTCAGTTTGTGCATAACATCCAATTATTTTATAGTCTAGGGCTTGATGTAAAAATTTTTTTTTTTGTTCTTCATTTCCTTGACCTATTAGTGTTGGTATAAACATTGATCGATGAACTCCAAACTGATTATTTATATATATAAATAAAAAAATAAGTAATGTTTAAAAATTTTTTTTTTATTTTTTTTTTGGGAGAAAAGAAATGTGAGAAGGGAATGAAAGAAATAGTTACCGGGCCAGCTAAATCAATAAGAAATATGGCAATTTGAATTTCTTCGGGGCTCCATTTATTCTCTCTAATCAATAGTAATAATGAGGATTTAATTTTTATCTTAGATGGATCAAATCAAATCAACGAATGAATTAAAATCAATAAATTTTATTAATTCGATCATTCAAATAACACAACTTACTTTGATAATTTTACGAGTTTTTTTTCTGTTCGTAAAGAACGCTCAAATAATTCAGTCCGACCCAGAAAATAAATATTGCTTTTATCAAGGTCCGGATCATTCTCTAGTATTTTCAAAATTCTGTCAAATCTCTCCAAATCCCTACGACCATATATTACCAATGTCAAGTCTTGTACATTGAATGTTGCTCGTGATCTTTCCTGTTCTAATAATTCAGAACCTTGTGGATCTGATGGTTTTAGGTTGGTTGGGATTTTTATTGTTGCTGTTGATGATGATGATAGACTTTTAGATGAATTTGGCATTTTTGGTTTTTGACTGATTAATTATAAATTGATTGAAAAAATTTTTACTGTATTTATACAATTCAAAATTCATTCATTGAAACATTTATATATAAATCGGCCCATTTTGAATGTGATTCTCATTTTATAATTTTCATATGACCATATGACAAGAAAAATTTGCAAAAAAAATTAATAATCAGATATCTTTTATTTTTTATAGATTATTTTTTTTTGGAAAAAAAAAAAATAAAAAAATGTTCGTTTTTTTGTTTTTTCTTTTTGATCTACAAAAATATTAGTATTAGTTTATAAGCAAAAAAGTACAAAAAAAATAAAATACAAAAAAAAATTTTACAAAAAAAAAAAAATTATATAACTATATATATATATAAACAATAAAAAAAAATATGTAAAAATGTAATTAATTAATTAAATTATTGAAAGAAATTTTTTACAACCCGCTCAAAAAAAAAAATATATAATTTACATCCCTCCCAATTAAAAAATTTACATTAAATAATAATCATAGTGATCATATTCATTAATACCTTTACCAAGTTTAAACATTAAACAACAACATTTATTATAATCATTATAATAATTATTATTAACATTATTATAATCAACAATTGTTTCCAAACATCCAAATCTTCCTGAATTCATCTCAAGTATTTGCATATTATTATTAGGAAATGTTGTTGTTGTTGTTGTCAATTTCTTTTTTAGTTTTGAATTCATCAAAGTCTCATTTGTCAAATCTTGTTTGTAGCCTGAATACAAATACAAATATTTTAATGAATCAGGTAACTGGTCCAAATCACCATCATATATTGTATTGTGTAACCGCAGTTCATTTAAGTTTGAAAGCGACCTGATCATTTGTCGTCGATAACATTGTGCCTGGAAACATTTTTTCTCGCATAAACAATCATCATTCTCGAAACCGGTAATTCCGGAATAGCAAATGCTAATATCCAATTTACGTAAAGATTTCGAATATCGGGACTTGATAATCGAATAAAGATTTTCTGGATCATATGTGTACAAGTGTAATATCAGAGTGTGTAGTGACGGAGCATTTTTCGGAAGTAAATCAATCCATTTTCTACCGTATGCGTGATATGTGTAGTGCGAGTCACTTTCGTAGGCAGCATGATAAACGAAACCCGTTACATTAAGATATTCGAGTGTTGATGGTAAACTGATAGTGTCATAATCTCGTGGTAAAGAAGGATAACTCGCGGTCAAATGCGTCAATGGTGACAAAGATGTTGTCCGGTCCGATGGCAAAGCAAATAAGTTGTTGTCAAAGAAACATTTAGAGACATCTAAACGTTTTAATGAACTGGGATAAGCATTTGGATCATTCAACACCAAGACATGCTTGACTTTTAACGGTAACCCATCATCCGGACCCATTTGTTCATAATCGTTTTTTGTTAATATGCGATGCTTCTTTTGCGGAAGGTCCTGTGACAAAATCAATTCTTTAATGTGATTTGGAAAACTGTTTGGTGGAATGCATTGTTTGATTATAATCATGTCATCCGATATTACTCTTGTTATGTTGTCAATGTCATAACTGAGGCCAGTGCCGAATTTGGTGTTACAAGGTATGATAATATGTAATGATGTAAGGTTTGGTAAAGTTTTTTCGATATCTTTGGAGAATGATGGATCAACAAAGAATCGATTTGTGTTTAATGTCAAATGATTTAAATTTGACAAGCCTTTTAGCACAATTATCAATTCAGGAATAACTAAAAAAAAAAAAGATTTTCGAGAAGAAAAAAAGGTGCGAATAAGAATTGAGAAAGAATTGAGATGAGAGATGTCGAACAAGGAAATCATTATTATTATTGGTGATACTTACTTTGTGAACAATTGATTATCTTCAATTCAGTTAATATGCTTGGAAGGTTCAATAATCTATTTAAAAGGTTTGAAAAAAAAAATATATATATATAAATATTATTAGTTATGCATGAACAACGTATAATAATAGTGACGAATAATATCCAATAGCGATTTACATTTATATGCATACCCGTTGATCGTTAAATCGTGACAATCTTTCAGTGATAAGCTTTGCAATTGTGAAACATTTTGACTTAGCCATTGATCAATTCCAGTACCTAAGATTGGATTGTTATTTGAGAAACCTG